CTGTGTCTCAGGCCTCCCCGTCCGTGGGAGCTGTGAGTATAACAGGCCTAGCTACTGTGTCTCAGGCCTCCCCGTCTGTGGGAGCTGTGAGTATAACAGGCCTAGCTACTGTGTCTCAGGCCTCCCCGTCTGTGGGAGCTGTGAGTATAACAGGCCTAGCTACTGTGTTTCAGGCCTCCCCGTAACAGGCCTAACTACTGCTTCTCACGGCCTCCCTGGCTCCTCTTTGCTGTGTTGCACCTGACCTGCCATCCCAGAAACCTATCACAGCAGTGGGCTCTAGGGCCCTGGTTTGAATGTGGGTGCCCGGTAGGCAGGGCACTGCCGCCGAAGGCTGGAGCTGCCCTACAGGAGACAGCCCAGGTGTCGATGCGGCACCCGCCTGCCTTCCACACTGTGCTCCTCTCCCCCTGGACTCCAAGTTCTTGGGAGCAGTTGGGCCGTGGAGTTCAGCAAGGGGTCGAGGACAGCCAGTTGGCTGAATATTCCAGAAAGAGTCTGAAACTGCTGAATGTAAAGATGACCTTTTTCCCCCAACATGAGTCTGATTCTTGTCCTCTCTTGGAACGTGTAGAGCGCTTACTTTCCTCAAAGGACAGGAACAATGTCACACTCTGTGTGATGCCGGCTCCCTCGACCACGCTGTCTAGACTCCACGTGCTTTCACTTAACAAACAAAATAAAATAAAAATAAAAAGAACCCTTCGCCATAGAGGCACCGCTCTGCCATCTTAAAACTATTTCTGGCAGAGGAAGAATGCTTCATTCAGGAGCCCCTGAAAGGAGAGTGGTCCAGGGAAGAGCCGCCTGAGGTGGCTGTGGAGCTGGCACGGGGGGCAGCAGGCCGGCCGGGAGCCAGTGCCAGGCCCAGCACATCGCAGCTGCCCCTCACCTGCTGTCTCATTATCTACATCCTGGAGTTTCCCAACAAGCAAAGCAGAGGAAAGGAAAAGGCCTCCTGATCTCACAGAAGCTCCCCTTTCTTTAGAATCTGACAGTCTAAGGCTCCCCAGAGAAAATGCAGCTGTAAAACGTCAAGACTGACACCCGCTGGCCAGCCCGCTGGGCCTCGGAGAGATTGCCCAGCGGTCCAGCGGTCAGTGCTCGCAGTCAGCTGTGGGATGGAAATGTAACTATTCACCAGATCCTTCTGCGCTTCTCCATTCAGTGATTCAGCCAATTTCTGGATTCCTACTGTATTCAAAGATCCCTGGTGGAGCAGTGGTTAAGAGCTCAGCTGCTAACCAAAAGGTCGGCAGTTCAAATCCACCAGCCACTCCTTGGAAACCTTATGCGGCATCCTACTCTGTCCTATAGGGTCGCTATGAGTAGCAATTGACTCGACAGCAACTGGTTGACTGTATGCAAGGCATCCCCTAGGAACACTCTTCTCAATTTTATGACAAAAGAGCCTGTTGTAAGAGAAGAACTTGTTGAAGGACAAGGTGGTCCTGACGACAGGCATCTGAACTTCTTGATAAAACAAAATATCACTTCTAGTTATCTCCTCATTTCTTTTTCAAACACACATTTTCCAAGAGTCACAGCCAGAAATGCCTTTCCTTCTTCATCAAAGATTACGGCCTCAAGAAACGCCATTCTTCCTACGTAGCCCAGCTGCAAAGGCAGGGTCACAAGAGCAGAACAATCTCATTTCCTCCCCTGATGGAGCAGGGCTCTAGTCATCTGATTTACTTGTCAGCAGTTTTTGACATAAACATTTCAATGAATGAATGTAACTAATTTAGAAAAACTTACTACACAGGGCCAGGCTGGGGGGTGTCCTAGCCACAGAGATGAAGCCAGTGTCCTAAGGCCCGCTGCTGAGGCTTGTTCAAAGCCTCCAGATGGGGGGCAGAGGACGGGGGCACAGGAGGAGCACAGGGCATTTTTAGGGCAGTGGAACTATCCTGTGTGAAACTGTAATGGCAGGCACATGACATTATGCATTTGTCACACCCGTAACATTGTACCACACAAAGAATGAACCTGATGTAAACAATGGACTTTAATTAATAAACAAAATGAATCAATATCGGTTCATTAACTGTACCGAATGTACCACAGGAATGAAGAAGTTAATGATAGGGGAAACTGTGGGCAGAGGGGGAGGTGGATATATGAGAAGCCTATATTATCTGCACACTTTTTCTATGAACCTAGAACGGTACTAAAAAATAAAGTCTATTAAAATAAATCCCACATGCTTAAAGGTGAAGAAGGTTGTATGAGGAAACGCTGGACTGGCAGATGTTGTGTTATATATATTTTTGCAACAATAAGAAAATAAAGAAGAAGGTGCATGAGGGCAGATGAAAGTGACGCAGAGCAGCCCAGCCCTTGGGATCAGTCCCTGTAGCCAGCAGGGCAGACATGGTCCCCTATATGCACTGCCGGGTCAACACAGGCAGATGGCTGGGCCACACCCCGCCCTTGTGGGTGATGGCAGAGAAGACCCTGATGGCTGCTCCTCACTTCCACTAGGCAGGCAGATCCCTGGTCGGCTGGCTATGCTCATGACTGTGACTGAGAATTCAAATATGAGGCCAAGGGACGAGGCTGAGTGACTGATGCCCCTACTATGGAGCAATCCATAGCATGCAGGGAAGAGGCCTCAAGACGGCCTTTCCCAGCTGCATAATCCCTAAGAGAACATGCAGACATGTGTACACACACAGTCCTGTGTATGTGTACAGGAATCTGCATGTATTACCTCCCCCCAGAACTTCCAGGACAGGCAGGTCCAAACAGCTACGTCCACAAGATCCCTGGGTACCGGAGCAAAGCCTTACCTGGGCCTCTTGTCCACGGCAGTGACGCACGTGTGCTGGGAGGGGACGGCTTTCCATTTCTTCGCTTCCACCACAAGAGCTTCTGCATCCACCAAGCCAAAGCCATACAGATGGCTAACTGCAAAAACAGGGACTTCAGAGCTAAATTCCCTCTATTCTCTTCTGGAAGGGGGCAAGGCTGGGCTCCTGCGCTCTGCTTTGCTCCCACCTAGGGCACCTTATCCAGGAACCAGTGGGCACGGGTCATACTAATGTCGTCACCCTCTATGGCTGGAATGGCTCTAAGCGCTCTCCCAAGAGAGCCCTCTCTGCAGGACCAGTGATCTGAGGGCTGCCTGTCCAAGTCGCTGTATTCTTTCTCTGAGTTAGACTCCTTCCCTGTAGGACTGAGGGCCAGGAAATATGTTTTATTTTGGTTTAGAGTAGGAGAAGACTTGTTGAGAGGGCCTGCTGTTGTTGCTGTTAGCTGCTGCTGAGTTGGGCCCTGACTCATGGTGACCCCAGGCACAACAGAATGAAATGCTCCCAGTCCTGCTCCATCCTCATGATCTACTGCAACTGGACCACTGTGATCCATAGGGTTTTTGGAAGTAGAGCGCCAGGCCTTTCTTCCTAGTCTGTCTTAGTCTAGAAGCTACACTGAAACCAGTTCAACATCATAGCAAGGCACAAGCCTCCGCGGACAGACGTGTGGTAGCTGCGTATGAGGTGCATTTGCCAGAACTGAACCCAGGTCTCCTGCATGAAGGGGGAGAATGCTACCACTGAACCATCACTGTTCCCTGAGAGGGCCTAGCAGAGCCTTTTTCAAGATGAGGACAGGTTTCCTTACATTAGAGGGAGCTGTCGGCACCTGCGATTCCAGAATCTCAAACCAGAATAGAGGATCAAAACCTGAGCCCTCTTGGTCCACGGGACCGCTACGTGTGATACATACACCAGACAAGGTTGTGCCCGTCTTCTTTGCCATCTTCTTTCCTGCTGAGTTCCCAGGACGCTGGGGAAAGCAGCGTCGCACAGCACACACTATGAGTGCGTGTAAGCTGGCTGAGCCAGTGTTTAATTTGGCCGTGGCAGGAGAGTTTCAAAGTTTAATTTAAGCGGCAAGGTCAAGAAGTAGATACAATCTGCTTTCCTATGTAATTAGGCCAAGATTGAAATGTAGGTCAGCTCTTGCTACAGCGCCCCACTACCACCGACACTCCTGCAACATCACGGCGCTTTAGGCCCAGTCAGCGGCCTCTTCACGAAAAGGCATGTTTCTTGGAATTTACTGTAACAATGCTTGACCTATAATCTACAGATACAGGTATCAGGCCTGGTGTTAAAATAGTGCGACCTGGGCTTCAGAAAGGTAAACAAGTTCTCCCTAACATACCACAGCTGAATGGAAATCTCCTTCAAGTATCTCTAGTAAGAAGCCAGACAAACAAAGACAGTGGCACAGACGTATAATTACCTGCCACCTCTTTCTCCCAGCTCCAGGCACGCTAAATCTCGAGGCTACGGCACCTGGCTGGGGGTTGATTTCATGGTACAGGATCTGTATCAAGCTGGACTAGGGGCGGCGGCCCTGCTGCCAGGATCACGTACAGATGCAGCTATCCTGTGAGTTACTGTGACAACACAGGGGCGTGCTGACAGAGTTTTATAGTCAGAAAGGTACCTTACACAGCTCCCTCAACGTCCTCATTGTACAGGTGAGGAAGCTGAGGGCTAGTTTCAAAATCACAGAGCTACTCAGGGCTAAGAATGCAAGGTGCCCTTAGGTGGCGCATATACAAACATTGCTTTTAATAATCATGTATCTGTTTTAATGTGCATTAGAAAAAAGTATAACTACATATCACGCTCATGATTAAATAGGTGTAATAACATTTCCTTTTAAAACACATTTCTTAATGTTAAAAAATGTGAGGCAATCTAAAGAGAAAGAGTAAGTGGCCAAAATCATGGAGGTGATGAAACCTAGACTCTCATGACTTCAGGTTTCCTCCTTAATGCCCAGGCAAGGCTCCAGGGTACTTTCCTTAAATTGCTGCATACTTGTTTTTAATACACAACTCGTGTGATTTGGAGATTTCTTTTGGGGAATTCATATCACCCCTTAATATGGATTCTAGGAGGCCCCCTGGGGGCCGGCCAGGACATGGTGACATGCTGGTCCCTCCCACACCACCGGGCACCGCACCTCTGTGACCTGCGCCGTTGTATTTCCAGTCGTTTGCCCTAAGGTGAGCCGGCCTGGACGTCTTCACCAGCAGGTGCTGGACGTCCCTCCAGGTTAACTGGTTGCTGCAATGACACAATGACAGACGGGTCAGACAGTGACAGCCACACGGGCCCATGGGAGGCAGTACCCGGGGCGCGCGCCCTCGAGTCTGGACTTGAGTGAGCCCCATAGGCCCCCGGCTGCATTCCTCAGCAATGGCTTATTTCACAGCCTCTTTGTACAGGATCATTTCCAGCAATTAAAGCCTGAGATAAAACAGCACAACGGATGACCTGAAATCCACAAGCATTAAAACCCATCCTTGCCGCCAAGCTCTGCTTTTGTTTATACAAGAAAGTTTGGAAGTATAAAGAAAGGAATTTTTAACATCCCCGTAAATGTTTATTAAATATTTAGGGGGCTATTTTTCACTATTGGAGCCCTGGTGGCGCAATGGTTAAGTGCTCAGCTGCTAACTGAAAGGTCAGCGGTTAGAACCTACCAGCCACTCTGTGGGAGAAAAGACCTGGCAATCTGCTCCCATAAAGATTATAGCCTAGGAAACCCTATGGGGCATTTCTACTCTGCCCTATAGGAACTGACTCAATGGCACAGCAACAACAGTGTCTTCACCACAATGAGGGAATGCTGTGGTGCACAGGCGCATGCTTGGACCACGGTCTGCCAGACCCCACACACTGGCCACTGACCTCCTCGCTGTCTCCCAGCCTCCTTTCATTCGTCCGGCTCCCAGGCCTTTGCCTGGTACGCGTTGACCACTGTCCTGCCCTTACCCGCCATCCTTCCTGTGAGCCTCCAGATCCACCTCATCTTTAGAGGAGGATTCTGGAGCCCTGAGCTGCTAAAGGCTTTGCACTGTGGTCAACGAGCGGTCAAGGGCACGGAAATGTTTTTCGACGAAGAAGGGACTGATAAGAAGTCCCAAGACCGCCCCAAACGGTGGGACAGTCTTTGGACGGTTCTTACACACGAGGGTCTTTCTTCATTCCCGACACACACTGTCTGCAGACCCTCCCTGCACCCCTGGGAGCTTCTCCACCCAGACCACCTGGCTCTGCCCTGTTTCCTTCCACAGGTGGGGGGCAGATCTAGAACACAAGCCTGTACAAGCAAGCAGCCAGCAATGTGCTGAGATGCGCTAGCAGCTCCAATCTCCAAAACCAGGCCTTTGGGCCCCCTGGATGTAATCTGTTCCTTACTCGACCAATCCTGTAAGTTTAAAATGCTGTAAATTCACTCTGTTTCAAAAGAGGTCTGCTTGATTTGCCACCTGTGAGCTCCTGTGGACGAGCTAGAAAGGTGAGGAAGACGACTGTAAGAGCTCACTTGTGCCCACAAGGCCAAGGTTAACAGGCAATCTGGCAGGAAGCAGGGTTTGTTTTCTACTTAGTTTTAAGTAACAGAATTCCTTGCATGTTTCCAGTCAGGAAGGGAATTAAAAAATAGAGAACAACTAATCATTAAATATGTGAATGTAACTTTCCACACAAGTAACTGATTATTTAGAATTTTTAAAAGAGCCTCGGGATACAGAAGCCAACATTTTGTCCTGCAAATTGAAAATATTGAGCTGTTCTTTGTTGAACTGGCAGCATTTGAGCTTTGTGCTCTTTTGCCTCATGCAAATCAACTCACAGACATACATAATTACAAATACGCAAGCTTCTTAAATGTTCTTTTTGGAACACCGGCAATCTCATGGATGACAAATGGCCGGGTTATTCTGTGTAGTTTTGACGTCTAAACCAGGAGTTTGCTTCTGACCTCACGATTGATGTGCAGTTATCTCTTATTTCTCTCTGACCCTATCCATATACTAACAACTTGAGAGTTTTCATTTGACTTATGGCAGACAAAACATCACCATTTTATTGGCAATCATGAACTAAAGTTCACAAAGAGAAGGTGTGGCAGCCTTCAGTGGGACTTGGTGTGCAGTGCGGAATGGGGAGCAGGCTGGGGGCTCTGGTCCAGCCAGACCCCTGGGACCCCACGAAGGGCGAGAAACTGTGGGCTTTAAACACTAAAAGAAGGGAAGTGGGACTTACTTTGCTTCTAAAGCCAAGGCGATGATGCCTGCCACCATGGGGGCTGAGACCGAGGTCCCCGTGTGGCCGTCGGTGCAGCGCTGACGCAGGTCCGTGGTGACCTGGGCGAGAGGGCAGTGGGAGAGAGGCTAGCTTAGCTCTTAGGAGAAGTCAGAAGTCACACAAGATGTCGCTCACTGGTGGGCATGATCCTGGCTCCCAGGAGCAGAACAGGAGCAGAACAGGCATTACACAAACACGTCTTAGCAGCCAAGGGCTTCAGGACCACCTGTGCTCTCTGCTAAATCGCTTTGCTCTCATAAGCAAGACGTGGGCCCACCAGCTGGCAGGGACGTGATTATTGAGGAGCGGACACAAGGAGACAAGGCAGAGAGAAGACTCGCACCTGGAAGCCATATGCCACGCGTGAGCTTTGAGAATGCATAACCTCATCTCACTGAGATTGTCGAAGTGCGTGCCCAGGAATGGACGCAAAAGCAAGAGGACACAAGGAAAGGCTCTCCACACCCGTCTCCCGGGTCTCTTGGCATTGTGCCTCACTCTCTGCTGCCTGAGAGTCACCATGGGCAAGGCCATCCACCAGAGCCTTCAGCTGTGACCCCACATGTCACCCCCATGACCTCAAAGCAGCTAGAAATGGACCGTATGCGTGGGCAACCCTGAAGAGCATTTCTGCCCTTGGCCAGAAGGTCACAGATCAGGTTCTCCAACAGAAGGAGTTGTTTTAAGCTGCAAGTTTGTGGTAATTTGTTATAGCAGCAATAGGAGACTAATACACCCACTGTTATGGATTGAATTGTGTCTCCCGTAAAATATGTGTTGTAATTCCTAACCTATGGTTATACTCCCATTTGGGAATGGGTTGTCCTTGCGTAGGGTGTGTCTTGAATCAACCTCTTTTGAGATATAAAAGAGACTCAATAAGCAAGCGAGTTAGCAGAGATGGGGGAAGAGAGATACCAAGCCACATGAAGATCCCCCAGAAGCAGAAGCTCAGAAGGGATAAGGACCTCCCTCCAGAGCTGACAGAGAGAGGAAAGCCTTCCCCTGGAGCCAGGACCCTGAATTCGGACTTCCAGGCTCCTAAACTGTGAGAGAATAAATTTGCGTTTGTTAAAGCCATTCACTTGTGGTATTTCTGTTATAGCAGCACTAGATAACTAAGACACCCACCAACCGCAAGCCTCCAGTAGTCAATTTCAAAAACCTTCAGAATAAATTTAACAATCCACATCCTCTTCCAAATGGAGCATCTCCCCTATCATATGTGTGCGTGTGCACACACACACAGACACACACACACACACACACACACACTGGTGTGACTAATTAAGCCAATCAAGTCATAAGCTCCACTCCCAGATTGAGAAAGCCCATCCTCCCAGCACCCAGCCCACAGTACAAAGTGTCCAACAATGCAAGCCCTGACTTGCCCCCTTTCATCAGCAGGCCTCTGTCAGGTTTTGGCACAAGCATCTGTTTTATGCAACTCCATGTTCAGGTGAGCGAGATTTCTAAATGAACAGACACCATTCAGAATCTCAGCTGCCGGTCCTGGGGCATGTACTCCAAGAGAAAAGGAGAACAACCACCTGAATTAATCCCTGAGCAAACCGGCCCCACCACTGCCGGGCTGCTGCAGTGCGATCACAGCTGACCTTCCAGCCGGGGCAGAGCAAAGCAGAGACCAGGAAGCCTGTGTGCTCCGTGGAAACATGTAAAAATCCATGTGCAAATAACTTCTAAAGATGTGGCCACCAGACAGGAGAAATGAAAAGATGCTAGTGAGCTTGAAAATTAAGCCATGTCTGGCCAGCTCCATGACCTCATTGTTAAAATGTCTAAAAACCAACTTAATGACTGTGATTTGAATTTGGAATTATTTTGGACTTGAAATCATCCCCGTCTTTTTTAAATAGGAAAGTACACAGGGAAGGAAGAAGTATAAACTCCACTCATATACTAAAATAGCTGCTTTTTAAAAGATAACTGTGAAGTTAATTTAAGTGAGTGGAGAACTTGGGTGGTGCAAACAGTTAACATACTTGGCTGCTAACCGAAACTTGGAGGTTGGAGTCTACCCAGAGGTGACTCAGAAGAAAAGCCTGGCAATCTACTTCCAAAAAATCGGCCATTGAAAACCCCATGGAGCACAGTTCTACTCTGACACATGGGTATGAGCTGGGGTCGACTCCATGGCAACAGACTCTTTTTTAACAGACAGAAACCACTGCTTGACTTAAAGTAACCAGGAAAAGTCATTTCAAAGGAAGGGAATGCCTAGAAGAACACTTGATTTCTCACAGGTTTCAGTATAAAGCTAGAATTTCTCTTACTCTACTCACACATTAAAACTGAGCCGGTCAATAGACTCCCAAGCAACTTAACCACAGAATTTAAGAGAGCTAAAAGGAGACATCCTGATGAGCATGGACAAGCACGAACTCCACTCCTACGTGATATTTTTAGATATCTAAAGCCATGTTGTTGTTATGTGCTGTTGAGTTGATTCTGACTCGTAGCAACCCTTTTGCCACCCTACAGAACAGAGCAGAACTGCCCCATAGGGTTTCCAAGGCTGTGATCTTTACGGAAGCAGACTGCCACATCTTTCTCCTGAGGAGCAGCTAGTGGGTTCGAACCACCAACTCTTCAGTTAGCAGGTGAGCACTTAACCACTGTGCCACAAGGGTTCCTTTCTAAAGCCATAAAAACAAAACAAAACAAAACAAACCTAGATAACTGGGAGCTCCTAAAAATCAAACACTTATGATCATCAAAAGACTTCACCAAAAGAGTAAAAAGACAACTTACAGACTGGGAAAAATTTTTTGGGTACGACAAATCCGATCAGCATCTAATCTCTAAAATCTACAAGATGTTGCAAAACCTCAACAACAGAAAGACAAATAACCCAATTAAACAATGGGCAAAGGATATGAACAGGCACCTCACCAAAGAAGATATGCAGGCGGCTAACAGATACATGAAGAAATGCTCACGATCATTAGCCATTAGAGAAATGCAAATCAAAACTACAATGAGATATCATCTCACCCCAACAAGGCTAGCACTGATCCAAAAACCACAAAATAATAAAGGCTGGAGACGTTGTGGAGAGACTGGAACACTTACACACTGTTGGTGGGAATGTAAAATGGTACAACCACCTTGGAAATCGATTTGGTGCTTCCTTAAAAAGCTAGAAATACGATTCAGCAATCCCACTCCTTGGACTATATCCTAGAGAAATAAGAACCATCACACGAATAGATATAAACACACCCATGTTCACTGCAGCACTGTTCACAATAGCAAAAAAAGATGGAAACAACCTAGGTGCCCATCAATGGACGAACGGATAAACAAATTATGGTATAGTCACACAATGGAATTCTATGCAATGATAAAGAATAACGATGAATCTGTGAAACATCTCATAACATGGATGAATCTGGAAGGCATTATGCTGAGTGAAATTAGTCAGTCACAAAAGGACAAATATTGTATGATACCACTATTATAAGAACTCAAGAAAAGGTTTAAACACAGAAGAAAACATTCTTTGATGATTACGAGGGTAGGGAGGGAGGGAGAGGGTTATTCACTAACTAGATAGTAGACAAGAATTATCTTAGATGAAGGGAAGGACAACACACACTACTGGGGAAGTCAGCACAACTGGACTAAATCAAAAGCTAAGAAGTTTCCTGAATACAACCAAACACTTCAAGGGACAGAGTAGCAGGGGTAGGGGTTTGGGGACCATGGTTTCAGGCATCATCTAGGTCAACTGGCATAACAAAGTTTATTAAGAAAATGTTCTGCATCTCATTTTGGTAAGTGGCATCTGGGGTCTTAAAAGCTAGCAAGCAGCCATCCAAGATGCATCAATTGGTCCCAACCGACCTGGAGCAAAGGAGAATGAAGAACACAGAGACACAAGGAAAATATTAGCCCAAGAGACAAAAGGGCTACATAAACCAGAGACTTCATCAGCCTGAGACCAGAAGAACTAGACGGTGCCTGGCTACTGTCAATGATCGCCCTGACAGGGAACACAACAGAGAGTTCCTGAAGTTCCTGACGGAGGAGGAGAAAAGTGGGGAGCAGAACTCAAATTCTAGTAGAAAGATCAGACTTAATGGTCTGACTGAGATTCGTGGGACCCCAGAAGACACGGCCCCCAGACTCTCTGTTAGCCCAAGACTAAAACTATTCCTGAAGCCAACTCTTCAGATAAAGATTAGACTGGACTATAAGACATAAAATGATACTCGTGAAGAGTGTGCTTCTTAGCTTAAGTAGATACATGAGACTAAATGGCCAGCTCCTGTACGGAGGCGAGATGAGAAGGAAGAAAGGGACAGGAACTGGATGAATGGACCCGGGAAATCTGAGGTGGAAGGAAGGAGTATGCTGTCACAGTATGGGGAGAGCAACTCGGGTCACACAGCAGTGTCTATAAATTTTTGTATGAGAAACTAACTTGAACTGTAAACTTTCATTTAAAGCACACACACACACAAAAAAAAACCCAAGCCCATTGCCATCGAGTCGATTCCAACTCATAGTGACCCTATAGCACTGAGCAGAACTGTTTCCAAGAAGTGGCTGGTGGATGTGAACTGCTGACCTCTTGGTTAGCAGCCACATCACTTAATCACTGTGCCACCGAAAAAACCAAACCTGTTGCCATTGAGTTGATTCTGACTCATAGTGATCCTATAGGACAGAAGAGAACTTCCCCACAGGGTTTCCAAGGAGTGCCTGGTGGATTCTAACTGCTGACCTTCTGGTTAGTAGCTGTAGCTCTTAACCATTATGCCACCAGGGTTTCCAGGGCTTCTCTAAAGCCATAGAGAGTTTTAATTGGTACTTCTGTACAAAGATGAGAAAGGCAGGGTCTGAGGAGGGTTGTCAAGGGACTGGGTTTCCCTTGGGGTTTACTGATGGGTAAAGCTAGAATCAGGGCTCAGGGACACACCCTCGACCTCATTCATTTTTTATTAAGGGAAAAAGAAGTGCATCCCCAAACGGCTGGGATGCGTGACATGCACTCTTGTTATGGATTGAATTGTGTCCCCCAAAAATGTGTGTCAACTTGGCTAGGCCATGATTCCCAGTATTGTGTGATTGTCCATCATTTTGTCATCTGGTGTAATTTTTCTATGTGTTGAATATCCTACCTCTATGATGTAAATGAGGCAGGATTAGAGGCAGTTATGTTAATGAGGCAAGACTCAATCTACAAAATTAGGTTGTATTTTAAGTCAATCTCTTTTGAGATATAAAAAAGAGAAGTGAGCAGAAAGAAGAAGGAACTTATACCACCAAGCAAGAAGAGACAGAAGCGTGAGGATCGTCTGGACCCGGGGTCTCTGCTCTGAGAAGCTCCTAGACCAGGGGAAGACTGATGACAAGGGCCTTCCCCCAGAGCCTACACAGAGAGAAAGCCTTCCCCTGGAGCTGGCGCCCTGAATTTGGACTTCTAACTTCCTAAACTGTGAGAGAAAATATTTCTCTTTGTTTAAGCCGTCCATTTGTGGTATTTCTGTTACAGCAGCACTAGATAACTAAGACAACTCTCCACCTCACAAAAAAAAAAAAAAACCAGTTGCTGTGGAGTCAGCTTCAACTCATGGTGACCCCACGTGCGTCAGAGTAGAACTGTGCTCCATAGGGTTTTCAATCGCTGATTTTTCAGAAGTGGATCACCAGGCCTTTCTCCCAAGGTGCCTTCGGCTGGACGTGAACCACCAACCTTTTGGTTAGCAGCCGAGCATGTTAACCATTTGCACCACCCAGAGACTCGAACTCACCAACCAAACTCACTATTTTCCGCTCAAAAAAGGCGCCGCTGCTGTAGGTGGTGGCCAGCGTAGACGCACACTCCTCCAGGTACCAGGGCTTGTAGCCGTTCTCGGTGGTGCTGCTTACGGAGATGGTGTAGATGCTGTTGGTGTAGCCATCGCAGGAGCAGTAGTCACCTTCTCTCCCGCCGTTCCCAGATGCCCAGATGAAAATGGAGCCCAGGCCCTGCCGGCCCTGGAGGGGGAGAAGCACAACGTCAGCCAGGGCAACAGACCCCAGCAGGGCCGTGTGGGTGGGGTGCACACCGGCCTGGAGTCCCCATCTTAAAGTTCCTGCACAGAGGGAAGGAGGGAGCTTCAAGACATCACCATGCTGCTCAGGACCTGCTTTGGGGGGGACTCTGTGTTGATGCTAATGAAGTGCTTTTACCTGTGGTAACAGCCTTACACTACAAAATCACAGGATCGTAGTGTGGAAAAGGCCTTGGAAGACCCCTCTGCTCTTCACAGGAACGTCGAAGAACTAATATAAGCGGTACTGTTTCAAAGCAATGCCTATAATTTCCTTTATCATGGTCCATAATCAGAAAGACCAAGCAGTGCCACAAGCAAGTCTGAGATCATACATGATGGCTGAATTTATTGCTTCAACTTTCCTGGACTGAAAGAGCTGGTCTTGTGGGGAGAGAATGAATTTTATGGAAAATGTGGCTGAAGATGTACCCTTTTAAAATAAAGCAAGCTAACTTTGCAAACAGAGATGGGAGAATGAATTCTGGGTGAAGCATGAACAGGCAAGAAGGGTTATGGGGCAGACTGCTTGAGGCTGCTTGTGGGTGTCCATTAGAACTCCTGGAGTCTCCTCCACAGGTGAGCGTTGGATAGGTCATCAAGGTCAGCCACGGCCAGTGGCTCCACTTGTGAGTAGGTTTTGGTTTGTAAGAATGGACACAGGAGGGCAAGTCTTTGAAAGACAGTGGTGGGTCAAGGTGGGTCTCCGTGGCTCTATCCTACTCCACGCCAGCAGGACCAATGACTTCTGACAGAGCCCAGTGGTCACTCTGGTCACAGACTCAGTTAACTATGAACATATCTGAGACTGAGGTGACTGGTTCAGTCCAAATGGCCAGACTAGTTGGCCATGCACAGCGCCAGCCCCTGGGGAACAGCGCCAACACCATCCTCACGTAGAACAGGGCCCCGCGGGCGGTGACACTGGCATCCTTATCAAGGACTCTCTTTCCAAACTACATGGGAGAAAACTGATACTTATGCCCAACATTTGGCCAACCTAAAGATAACTTTCAACACAATTCTGCAATCCCTGTGGAGTCCAACTGAGTCTTTCCTGCTGCCTGGAAGCATGAGGATCACCCTTAGAAAGTTCCATGTTCGCTGTGCAGGCATGCCTGCTCCATGCGCCCTCGCCGCTCTGGCATATAGACCAAGGGGACTTGCAGTTCCCTGGTCTATTTGTGCCTGTTTTGCCATAACTCCTTCTTACACGACTCCAGTTCCAACCTGAGGGCACAACAAAGCCCACGGGAGGGTGCCTTGTGCTCACTCAGCTCTGACACCTCATTTATGGCTGCTTTCCACGTCTCAAAGGTGCAGCTGACAAGCCAGAGCCCAAAACTGAACCTTCCAGAAGAAAGGCACAGAGTACTAAGGACATGGGTGTGTCCGTGCATCAGAAGCTTACTGAAAACTACTAAAATCCAAATGGGAAGGTATTTAGCCCATCACTTGAACAGCTGCCACTGACTCCAGCTCATGTCTCCGTGTGTGTCAGAGTACAACTGTGCTCTGCAGAGTTTTCAATGGCTGATTTTTGGAAGTAGATCACCAGGCGTTTCTTCCAAGGAGCCTCTGGGCGGACTCGAACCACCAACCTTTCCATTAGCAGCTGAGTGTGTTCACCATTTGCACTACCAAGGGGCTCCTAATCCATCACAGCCTAGATTTATTCCATATGAGAATCATCTCTACGACACTGTCACCTTGACTCCCTGTCTCACTCACAATTATGTATAAAATGTTGTCATGTGCAAAGTAGAAAATGCCCCTGATTGCTCGAGGAGCTTTGAGAAGGTATGAAACAGCACTTCTCAAACTCCAACGTGCTCACGAATCCCAGCAGGCCTGAGGTGGCCCGAGATTCTGCATTTCTAACAGCTACAAGTGATGCCAATGGTGTTGGGTCTGGACCCCGCATAGAGCAACAAGGTCTGACAGGCCGACAGTCTGAATCTTTCCACCCTACACCAGGCATCTACTATAATACCAACGAGTTCTCCCAGGCAGCAGGACGCCCCCAGCGCCTTCCCTTCCTACAACAGCTTCCTGGAAAGATGACACGGACACCAGGGGCAGGAAACACGGGGGCCCGAGGTGTCAGGGGATGTTCTGTGCTGTCTCTGAGGACTGCATGTTCACCTCTAGGTGTTCCACACACTGGGGAGCCACAGGGCAGAGCTATAGGGACATCTCAGTCCTAACGGTGGGCTTGTACTTCTGTTTAGCAAAGCCACACTGAGCCCATCCACACACATTTCAGTGTCTTGCCTGGGAGGAGGAGAGTTTATCTGTGATCTCAGGCACATCATTACTAAGGAGTAATTGCCTGCCACCTGGACAAGGCCAGTGTTTTCAGCCATGGTGACATTAGTCTCCCCTTGGAATGACGAACACGTGAGGAGGAGGGCTTCATAAGGACCAACACTGAACAGATATTTTATGCCAAACCATGGCTTGTGTTTCACACAAAACCTGCCCTTTTAGCCATTTTAAAGTGTACAATTTTACGACCCCAGCCGCTACTCACAATGCTGTGCAACCATCACCACTTTATTTCCAAAACTTTTTTTTCACTCCAAACAGAAACTCTGTACCCACTAAGCAGTCACCTCCCCTTCCTCCCCCTCTAGCCCTTGTAACGTCTATTGCCTTTCTCTCTGCATTTGCCTATTTAGGTGTTTCATGTAAGTGGGATCATTCAGGGTCCCTGGGCGGCACAAAGGCTCTGAGATTGGCTATTAACCTAAAGTCTGGCGGTTCGAACCCACTCAGCAGGACCGCAGAAGAAAGGCCTGGCAATCTGCTTCTGTAAAGATTACAGCCAAGAAAACCCTATGGAGCAGTTCTACTCAGTAATACGGGGGGCAGCCATGAGTTGGAATCAGCTTGAAGGCAATGGGTTTTGTTTTGTTTTGGGGATGGGGTAATCATACAATATTTGTCCTTTTGTGACTGGCTTATTTCACTTAGCACTACTACGGCCTTCAAAGTGTCCTACCACCCCACCACCATCACCTACCAAAGACTGAAGTCAGATTTTACAGAAAAAGATCTCAGATGACAAATGAGGCCCGAGGAGGAGAAACAGATGGGAATGAGGTTTGGTTTGAGGTCATCAAATCTGTAGGAGGATTTTCAATGACAGGTTTAGACAGCTGCAATTTAAGTCTCCTTGTATAACATATTTTACTTCAGAATGACAAAAAAAAAAATTAAATGACCTCAGTATTTCAAGAAACTGTGACAAGAATGATGAGGGAACCACATGGTTCCCCCTGAAACTTCCCCACTCTCTGACAGCTCGATGAAGCAGGCGCTGCTCAGAATCTGGAACACAGAGATCCCTGCTCTGCAGCAAACTTTCCAGAGCCTTCCATGGGTTCTGTCTACACAGGCCTGAGTGAAGCAGAGAACCAAAACAACCATTTGACTAGTACAAAGCAGACCCCCAACAAAACAAAGCAATCAAGTCTCCCCTCCTGTCAAGAGGATTCCCTGTCCTAGCATCCCATATTTTTAGAAATAGCAGAGGCTCAGAAAGATAGCCATTCAAAGCAATATCTTCCATGGAGAAAATGCAAGCTGTAACTTAGCTACCCTCTCTGAGCTTAAATTTTCATTCTGATTGTTGTTAGTTGCCATCAAGGCAGGCCCTGACTCATGGTGACCCCATGCACAACGGAAGGAAACACTGCCCAGACCTGCGCCATCCCTATGATCGGCTGCAGATCGGACCATTGCGATCCATAGGGTTTTCATTGCCTGATTTTCAGAAGTAGATCACCCGTCCTTTCTTCCTAGTCTGTCTTAGTCTGGAAGCTCACTGAAACTTGTTCAGCATCATAGCAACACACAAGCCTCCACTGACAGACAGGTGGTAGCTATGCTTCAGGTGCATTGGTCAGGAATTGAGCACGGGTTTCCAGCATGGAAGGCGAGAATTCTACCGCTGCCTGACTCATAAGTTTAATTGTAAGGATGTAAGGATATTTAAAATTTTCATCAAGAGTGAGGCTCACGTAATTCAGTGGGTGGCCGAGTTCTGGAGGGCAGACAGCTGCAGGCCCAGCACTGCGCATCTCAGTGAAGGAGCAGCTTTTGTGTCTTCCGCGAGTCATGGAGATAAAGGGAAGCTGTCACGTGTCCCAAACATGCGCAAGAGTTCAAATGCTGCAGATACTAGTGTGTGTCTGCGTTTCCTCTCTTCCTTTACTTTTATCCTCACAAAACTACAAGTTCCCAGAGAGTCTGGGTGATCACTAAGCTCTGTGGGACACCAGCATGGGCACCTCACTTTTGGTCACTAGAGTCTCAGGCATCCAAGGCAGGGGATGGTGGCTGAGAAGGAAGCGGCTGGCCTCCACCTCACACCTGTGGAGCAACCGAGCATACATTCCCAGAGAAGTGCAAACCAGCCTCTCAGGGGCAGGGCGTGGAGGCTGGGTCTGAGGCCCCAGGCCTGGAAGTGTAAGGAAACGGGGGAAAGCTCCAGAGCATTCCGGGGTGGGGCAGAGAGCACTGAGGCATTCTCAGAGATAAATCCTCAGCCCCTATGACAGGAAATTAATAAATAGTGACCAAACCCCGTATATCTAGAAATAGCAAACAAATTACGCTATTGAGAAAAAGGGTTGCTCTCCTGTGGAGCAGGACTGAGGTGGGACAAAGAAATGCTGTTTTTAAATACAAGCCTCCTGATACTATTTGTTCTACAAACCACATTTTTAAAAAATTCTATTTATTTTGTTGTTGAGAATATACACAGCAAAACATACACCAACTCAACAGTTTCCACATGTACCATTTAGTGACACTGATTACATTCTTTGAGTTGTATAACCATTCTCACCTTCCTTCTCTGAGTTGTTTCTCCCTCATTAACATAAATTCACTGCCTCCCTAAGGTTCATATCTAATCTTTCTAGTTGCTGTTATCAATTTGATCCCATATAGATAGTTCTTGGAAACCCTAGTGGCGTGGTGGTTAAGAGCTACCAGAAGGTTGGGTATTCAAATCTACCAGGTACTCCCTGAAAACCCTACGTGGGCAGTTCTACTCTGTCCTGTAGGGTCACTATCAGTTGGAATTGACTCGACGGCAATGGGTTTTTTTTTTTTTTTTTTTTTTGGTTTAGATAGTCCTTAGAGCATAATACTCAGGGCAGATTTTTTTTTACTAGTAAAGCTAAACTACTGCTTGGTTTTAAGAAGACTTCAGGGAATATTTGTGGTTTAAGGTTTAAAGATTATCTCGGGACAACAGTTTCAGGGGTTTATCCAATCTTCATGGCTCCAGGAAATTTACAGAGTCCATGAGAATTTGAAATTCTGTTCTGCATTTCATCCTTTTGATCAGGATTCTTCTATGGAATCTTTGCTCAAAACGTTCAGTGATGGTAGCTGGGCACCATCCAGTTCTTCTGGTCTCATGAAGAAGGCGGCAGTTGTTCATGGAGGCAACTAGCCACACGTTCCATATCCTCCTTCTATTCCAGACTCTCCTTCCTCTGTTGTTCCAGGCAAAAGGAGACCAATTGTTGTGCCTTGGATGGCTGCTTGCAAGCTTTTAAGACCCCAGGCACTACGTATAGAACTAGGTGGCAGAACCTATTAACTGCCAATTAACTGCCAGGCCCCACGAAACCATGACCCTAAACCTCCAAACCAAGAAATCAAATTCCATTAAGTTTTTGGTTGTACATAAGCAGCCTCAGCTTTTTTCCATTGTTGTAAATGTATCTATCACACAACTTTTGACAAACCACATCAATGTGCATGGGTTACAGTAAGATAAGAACTTAAAAAAAGTTTCAAATATATAAATACTACATTGGGCTTGACTCTCCCTACCCCCACTCTCCCATCTGCTCAGAGAAGCCAGGGGTATGAATGCTGACCCCAGGGAGGCCTGGCTTCCTGCAGGACCTGCCAGCCCTCTCCAGCCACAGCTTGTGCTCTAGGCGGGCGTATGTTGGGCCACCGAGGTCTGCCAAGGACTCTGGCAACTACAGCTCTGTCTTCTCCAAGGAGCCTTCCTCACCTGGAAATCTGCCCTGCATCCCACTTTTAAGAACAGATGCATCTCCGGGCCTCCTCCCTGCTCCCTAGGGTTTGGAATTAATGGTGAAAAGTGACTAGAAGGCGGGGCAGGGGTAGATTCCCCCTCCAACCACCCTAGCTTGTCTGTGAAGAACCAGCCACTTGGAAGCTCACTCTCTTTAGTCTCTGGTGAGGCTCTACCCAAGAAATTCTACACATGTTGGGCCCCATGCTAGAAGTTGTTAGAAGCCATTGTTGTAGCCACTAAGTATTTTGAGTGCCTTCCAACCTAGGGGGAGCCCTGGTGGCATAGTGGTTAAGTGTTCAGCTGCTAATCAAAAGGCTGGCAGCACGAATCCATCAGTTGCTCCTTGGAAACCCTTTGGGGCAGTTCTACTCTGTCCTTTAGAGTCACTATGAGTTGGAATTGACTCAACAGGAATGGGATTTTGGTTTTGGTCCAACCAAGGGGGCTTATCTTCCAGCACTATATCAGACAGTATTCTGTTGTGATCCATAGGGTTTTTGTTGGCTAATTTTTGGAAGTAGATCGCCAGGCCTTTCTTCCTAGTCTGTCTTAGTCTGGAAGCTCTGCTGAAACCTGTTCACCATCGGTGACCCTGCTGGTATTTGAAATACTGGTGGCGTAGTTTCCATCATCCCAGCAACACTCATCTCCACAGTATGACAGACTGACAGATGAGGGTAGCATTAAACCTTGACGACCTGCCGTGGTGGGGCACTGGGTTAACACATTGTTCATAATGGAACTGGAAACTTCCATATTGAGTATTTCTATGGGTAGGTGGACTGAAGCCCAGGACACCCTTTCCATCAGCACAGGAAAAATAACAGGTCAGGGCATTTGACCGAGACCCCTACCGCCCACCTGATGCACCCCTTGCCCAGGCAGGCAGACTCCAAGTCAGAGTCCTGGGGCTGGCCTGATGACAGCAGGTGCTCACTGGGCAGGGATACCATAACGAGGGGAAACACCTCTGCTCCAGACGGCAAACAGCCCCTCCCTGAGCCCCCAAATGCACCCTCCCTCACGCTGGATCTCACAGTAGGGCCTTCCTGTCTGTGTTAGGGGTGGGGACGGCACCATGCTGTCACTACTGTTAACTGTTGCACCCCTGCCCCAGAGCCCCCCTCTGCCTGGTTCCGCAAACCTTTTTAATGCCGTACTGGAAGGCCTGCTTGGCGAGCCGGCCGGGCCCGTCCACCGTCTTCCCGTCATCGTCCGGCCCCCAGCTCGCACTGTAGATGTCGATGTAGTTGGGTCGGATGCCGAGTGACTTGGCTTCGACGACGTCGGTCACGTCGCCGTCCAACATGCGGATGCCTGGAAGCACAGAGGAAGCGCAGCATGAACCCGCGCAGCGCAGGACTGCCCGCCACGTGACCTGCGCGCAGGCACTGCTGGGTGAACCCGGCAGCTGCAAACGCTTTGTGCACGCTAACGGGTGCCAAGAAGGAGTTTTTCTAAAGTTAATTTGGAAATGTTTCTCCCATTCTGTGCTGGCTGATGGGAGAGAATGAAAATGATACCCCAGGCGGCTATGCGAAGTGTTCCCAACGCGTGAAAGCCATCAAGGAAACAAAGCGTCTTCCAAATGTGGGGTTTAAACAATTTCCCTCGGTACCGTGCTGGTATTTTAAAAACTGACATTTCTATAGCAGAGCTCCAGAATCTTTTTCAGTTTTCCTAGCTGTTAACAGTTGGTATTGATTTCTCTTCCTTTTATTATTCCATCCCTGATTTATAATACTAATGAACCAAACAAGGGGCTTTTAACTGTGAAGACAGCAGCCCATCCCCTGGCCTATCTCAGAGAGAGCAGCGGGTCTTGGATTCACCTGTTTAAGTTCCACGTGTTCTGGAGGGTGCTTAGGATCAAAGCTGGGGGAGTGAAGGTTCCTCAAGCGCACCCCAAAGGTGAGAGGGTGAGTGGACTCCCACAAGCCCCCTTCCAGTGCCTGCCTCCTGGCTGGGGTCTCTCCTCCTAGCCCTCCCCCCTCTTCCCTCATTTGCGTCTCCTGTCACACTCTTCACCCAGCCAGGAAGGTTCACTGACCATCCCCATCCCCCGGAGAAGGGGTCTCCATGCCATCAGGCAGTCGCCCCATTCAGGGGCCCCCAGGAAGCCCCTCACACACCAAGCCCAGCTCTGTTTATGTGATGGCCAAGTCTTTCATCAAAAAGAATTTTAAATCTTAGAGTTACTTAAGACTTAATGGCCTTCGGCACAAAGACACAAATAGGTTTAAGTGAAAGGATGGAAAAAAATATGCTATGTATATAGTAATCAAAAGACAGCAGGTGTGGCAATTTTAATATTATACAAAATAGACTTCAAGACAAAATCTATTATAACAAAGAAAAGCAAACCCATTGCCATCAAGTCAACTCTGACTTATAGAGATCCTACAGGACAGAGTAGACTTTCCCCATAGGGTTTCCAAGGAGTGGATGTTGGATTCAAATCGCCGACCTTTTGGTTAGCAGTCGATGGCTTAACCACTTCGCCACCAGGGCTCCAAAGAAGGACTGTACATAATGGTAAAAAGTCAATTCATCAAGAGCATATAACAATTATAAATTATGCACCTAACCTCAGAGACTCAAAATTCATAAAGCAAACACTGACAGAATTGAAGGGAGAAACAGACAGGTCTACAATAATAGTAGGAGACTTTAATATACCACTTTTGATAATGAACAGAACAACTCCAAAGAATATCAGTAAAGACTTAGAAGACTTGAACAACACAATTAACCAACTAGACCTAACAGATGTATATAGAATACCCAACCAGGGGCAGACCAACCAGTAAGCAAGGTATACACAGGCTTACTTGTGTGCTTACTTACTAATCTGTAGTGCACAATTCCACCTGTTTTTCATCTGACATGAAATTGTGCACTACAGACTAGTAAGTAAGCACAAGTAAGCCTTGTGTGTACCTTTCTTTTTGGGTAATCTGTCCCTGCACCCAACAGTAGCACAATATATATTCTCTAGTGCACATGGATCATTTTCCAGGATAGACCACATCTTAGGGCACAAACCAAGTCTCAAAAAAGATTGAAATATACAAAGTATCTTTTCCAATCAATGGAATGAAGCTATAAATTAACTAGGAGAAATAAAACTAGAAAATATACAAATATGAGGAAACTAAATAACATACTATTGAGCAACCAGTGGGTCAAAGAAGAAATCAAGGACAAATAAAAAAAAAAAAAAACTTAAGAGTTAAATGAGAATGAAAACACAACATACCAAAACCTATGGGATGAAGTGAAGGCAGTACTCAGAGGAAAACTTATAGCAATAAATGCCTACATTAAAAAAGAAGAAAGATCACAATTAATAGCTTAACTCTGTAACTTGAGGAATTTGAAAAGGAAGAGCTAACTAAGCCCAGAGCTACCAAAAGAAAGGAAATAATTAAGATCAGAAAGAAATAAAGGATAGAAAAACAATAAAGAAAATCAATGAAACCAGAAATTGGTTTTTTAAAAAAGATCAATAAAATCAACAAACCTTTGGTTAGAGTGACAAAGAAAAAGAGAGAAGATGTAAATATCTAAAATTAGAAAAGAAATTGGAGACATTACAACCAACCCTACAGAAATAAAAAGGTAGTACTATCAACAGCTGTATGCCAACAAATTAGATAACTTAGAGGAAATGGACAAAGTCCTTGAAACACATAAACTTCCTACACTGACTCAAGAAGAAACAGTGGGTCTCAGTTGACCTTTAACAATTGATGAGATTGAATCAGTAATCAAAAGCCTCTCAGAAAAGTGCTGGACCAGACGGCTTCACTGGGGAATTCGACCAAATATTTATAGAGGAAGTAACTCCAATCCTATTTAAACATTTCTAAAAAATAGAAGAGGAAAGAACATTACCTAACTCATTCTATGAGGTGAGCATTGCCCTGACACCAAAGCCAGACAAAGACACCACAAGAAAAGAAAACTAAAGACCAATATTCCTAATGAATACAGATGCAAAAATACTCAACAGAATACTAGTGAACTGAATCTAAAAATATATCAAAAGAACTATATACCATGATCAAGTGGAATTTATCTCAGGAATGCAAGAATGGTTCAATGTTAGAAAATCAATCAATTTAATATGCCACATTAACGAAACAGGAAAAGAATCATATGATCATCTCAATAGATGTAGAAAAAGCGTTCAACAAAATTCAACACGCTTTCACGATAAAAAGACTCAGCAAGATAAGAATACAAGGGAAGTTTCTCAAAATAATAAAGGCATTTATGAAAAACCCACAGCTAATATAATATTCAATAGAGAAAGACCGAGAACTTTCTCATTAAGAGCAGGAACAAGACAGGGATGCCCACTCTCACCATTGCTATTCAACATCATTCTGGAAGTCTGAGCCAGAGCAACCAGGCTTAGGGAGGGAAAAAAAGGTATCCAAATTGGGAAGGAGGAAGTAAAACTATCCCTTTTTTGCAGATGACACGAGCCTATACATAGAAAATCCCAATTAATCCACAAGAAAGCTATTAGAGCTAAAAAATGAATTCAGCAAAGTGGCAGGGTACAAAGTCAACACACAAAAATCAGTTGGGTTTCTATATATCAGCAATGAGCAAGTGAAAAAAGAAATTAAGGAAACAGTACCATTCACAATAGCATCTAAAAGAATAAAGTACCTAGAAATAAATTTAACCAGGGAGGTTAAAGACATGTACATAGAAAACTATAGACCATTATTAAAAGAAATTAAAGAAGATCTAAATAAATGGAAGGACATTCTGTATTCATGGATTGGAAGGCTTAATATAATTAAAATATCAATACTATCCAAAGCAATCTATAACTTCAATGAAATCCCCATCAAAATTCCAACAGCCTTCTTTGCAGAAATAGAAAAGCCATTCCTCAAAGTTATACGGAAGGGTAAGAGACCCAGAATAGCTAAAGCAATCTTGAAGAAAAGGGTGAGTAGGAAGACTCACATTACCTGATTTCAAAACATACTATAAAGTTACAGTAATTAAAACAGCCTGGTAGTGGTATAATAGACTCATCAAAAAATCCATTACCGTCAAGTTGATTCTGACTCATAGCTACCTACAGGGCAGAGTAGAACTCCCCGTAGGTTTCCAAGGAGCAGCTGGTGGATTTGAACTGCCGACCTTTTCATTAGCAGCCAAGCTCTTAACCACACCACCAGGGTTCCATTAGACTCGTAGACCAATGGAATAGAATTGAGAGTCTAGAAACAAATTCATACATCTATGGTCAAATGATTTTTCAACAAGTGTTCTAAGTCTATTCAATGGGGAAGGAACAGTCTCTTCAAAAAATGGTGCTGAGAAAATTAGATGTTCACATGCAGAAGAATGAATCAGGTTCCATGCCTCACACCTTACACAAAAACTAATTCAAAATGGATCAAGAACCTAAATGTGAAAACTCAAACCAAAAAATTCTTGGAAGAAAATGTAGGGGCAAGGCTATGGGGCCTAGCTTTTAACGATGGATGATCAGATACGATAACAAAAGCACAAGCACCGAAAGACAAAATAGATAAATGGAACCTAGTAAAAATTAAATACCTCTGTTCATAAAAGAACTTTATCAACAAAGTGAAGAGACAACCTATAGATAGGGAAAAATATCTCTGGAAACCATGTAGATGATAAAGGTCTAATATCCAATATATGTATACATATACCTATATAACTTATACAACTTAACAATAAAAAGATAACCAACCCAATCAAAAAATGAGTAGAGGGCTTGAACAGATATTTCACCAAAAAGGATATTTAAAGCATCATTAGCCATTAGGAAGATACAAATCAAAACCCAATGAGACATCACTTTATCCCCATTAGAATGGCAATGATGAAAAAATGGACAACAATAGGTGTTGATGAGGTTGTGGAGAAACTGGAACCCTCATCCATTGCTGGTGGGAATTTAAAGTGGTACAGCCACTGTAGAAAACAGTTTGGTGGTTCCTCAAAATGTTGAACATAGGACTACCACATGACCCAGCAATCCCAACCCTAGATACATACTCAGAAGAAGTGAAGGCAAGAATGCAAACAGCTGTACACCAATGTTCACTGCAGCACTATTCACAATAACCAAAAGGTGCAAACAACCTAAGTGTCCACCAACAGATGAATGGAGAAACAAAACGTGGTATATACACACAAGGAAATACTACACAGCCGTTAAAAGAAATGAAGCCCTGATGCATGCCACCACATGGATGAACCTTGAAAACACTGTGCTGAGTGAAACAAGTCAGTCGCAGAAGGACAAATACTGT